TTTTTTTTTTTTTTTTAAATAAGCGAAATTTTTGCTGTAGTGCGCATGTGCTCACCAGAGAAAGAGAGACAGAAAGCAAGAAATCACTCTCCAAGAAGGATGGCCACACACGGCAGTCCCTTCTCCTTCATTTACCTCTTGGGATTTTGGGCACACACAGCTGGTGTGAGTTAAAGCTGCCAGGTCTGGGACTTGAACCGTGGTCAGCTATGTGGAAATCCAGCAATGTAACCATTATGTCATCTGCTGGTCCCAGAGCATAGCTCTTTAAAGGTAGCAGATTTCTGAGGCTACTTTGGTGGGCCCCCCTGCCTCCATGTAAGCTGGCATTGTCTGAGTGGGTAGTGGCTTTTGTTCAGGATTCCAGACACTAGTGCTTGCTAATGTTGTGTTTAAACAACCATAGTATCAGAATGCTATTAATCTAATTTCTCTCCTAGTTCTATTTTTAGTACAATGAGAATAAAAACTTATAATGCTCTAACGTTAAATAAAACGGTAAAGTTCTAAAACTAACCTTTAACCTTCTCTCAACTACTCCAACCGCTATTTCTCTTACCTGTTAATGATTTCCTTTACATTTTCATTTGCACTTTTACATATTTAAAATATTTCTCTCCAAGTATGAATAAACAGGCACAGGGGTCTTGCCCTTTTTTTTTTTTTTCCTCATCCACAGGATTATTTTTCCTTTATGTATTTATTTGTTTGTTTTTTAAAATCTATGCACACTTGCACACTAATTATCTCAAAATTCCTTTTGTTTCTTGGACATTCCCCCCCTGCATTGCCTAGCATGGTGCTTTGCATAGAGTAGGTGCTTGCTGAATATTTGTACAGTTGAAATAGTTGATTGTCCACTTTCTTTACTATTTTCCTGTTGGTCTGTGCTTGCCTTAACCACGGACTCACTACTTTTAAATCTACAACTAATTCCTCATTTTGTAAGGATCAAGCGAAGGGCAGCCACACTGTTTACCTCCTCTATCTTTTGTACAATTTCCTCAACCCCTTCCAAGAACTTGTTGATGATCTGTGGCCTGCTATATTGCTTTTCCAGCAGATAACTGGGTAGTTAAAGTCCCCCAGCACCACCAGATCTCGTCCCAAGGCCACTTGGGTAAGTATTTGCTGTCTTGTTTTTTTTTTTTTTTTTTTTTTTTGGTATCAAGGTTGGCATTTTTCTAATTGTCTCTCCCCTGTTGAAATTGCATTTTCTTTATTTAAAGAGAGATTTTTACTTTGTTTGTTCTGTTGGATTTTTTTTTTTTTTTTGGAGAGATTGTTGCTATAGGGTGCACGTGCTCACTAGAGACACAGAGAGTCAGAGAGAGAGAAGGTGAGTGATGATCATGTTGCAGTCCCATTTGCTACAGGGCATATATGCTCACCAGAGAGAAAGTGAGAAAGCAAGTTGCCAGGTCCAAGACTTGAACCATGTTCGACCATGTGGGAGTCTAACACCTTAATTACTATGTCACTTGCTGACCCCTGAAATTGCATTTTTAAAAGTCAGTCTGTGGAATCTCTCACATCTTGGAGCATATTTTTTTTTTTAAATAAGCGAAATTTTTGCTGTAGTGCGCATGTGCTCACCAGAGAAAGAGAGACAGAAAGCAAGAAATCACTCTCCAAGAAGGATGGCCACACACGGCAGTCCCTTCTCCTTCATTTACCTCTTGGGATTTTGGGCACACACAGCTGGTGTGAGTTAAAGCTGCCAGGTCTGGGACTTGAACCGTGGTCAGCTATGTGGAAATCCAGCAATGTAACCATTATGTCATCTGCTGGTCCCAGAGCATAGCTCTTTAAAGGTAGCAGATTTCTGAGGCTACTTTGGTGGGCCCCCCTGCCTCCATGTAAGCTGGCATTGTCTGAGTGGGTAGTGGCTTTTGTTCAGGATTCCAGACACTAGTGCTTGCTAATGTTGTGTTTAAACAACCATAGTATCAGAATGCTATTAATCTAATTTCTCTCCTAGTTCTATTTTTAGTACAATGAGAATAAAAACTTATAATGCTCTAACGTTAAATAAAACGGTAAAGTTCTAAAACTAACCTTTAACCTTCTCTCAACTACTCCAACCGCTATTTCTCTTACCTGTTAATGATTTCCTTTACATTTTCATTTGCACTTTTACATATTTAAAATATTTCTCTCCAAGTATGAATAAACAGGCACAGGGGTCTTGCCCTTTTTTTTTTTTTTCCTCATCCACAGGATTATTTTTCCTTTATGTATTTATTTGTTTGTTTTTTAAAATCTATGCACACTTGCACACTAATTATCTCAAAATTCCTTTTGTTTCTTGGACATTCCCCCCCTGCATTGCCTAGCATGGTGCTTTGCATAGAGTAGGTGCTTGCTGAATATTTGTACAGTTGAAATAGTTGATTGTCCACTTTCTTTACTATTTTCCTGTTGGTCTGTGCTTGCCTTAACCACGGACTCACTACTTTTAAATCTACAACTAATTCCTCATTTTGTAAGGATCAAGCGAAGGGCAGCCACACTGTTTACCTCCTCTATCTTTTGTACAATTTCCTCAACCCCTTCCAAGAACTTGTTGATGATCTGTGGCCTGCTATATTGCTTTTCCAGCAGATAACTGGGTAGTTAAAGTCCCCCAGCACCACCAGATCTCGTCCCAAGGCCACTTGGGTAAGTCTACTGAAGAACAACAATCACATCGGTAATGCTGCTAATACCTTCGATTATAATGGCGCTTTTCCTCCCAAGAGCCCATAGTGATTCTGCATATATTGTCCCCTCCTTCGCTCTTACTTCTCAGATCCCTGTAGAGGCCAGTATTATAACCATCCTAGAATGCAGAGCACCACACAGGGAGGTGCCTGAGTTGGTGGTCAAGCTTGCATTGCATTAGAAATATTTGCTTCTAACTCCAAATCCACTGCTCTGTGCTTAGCCTATGCTACACCATCAACCTCTTGATTTGAAATTTCATTTGTGAACATGCATTCAGATTCTCATTAGCTCTGTCCTAGTTTTCACTTAATCCAGAGAGTTTTAAATTGTTGGCTGCCTTTTCTCAGGCTGGAGAACCCTGGTAAATATTCTTAATGGGCAATGCAGCATCAGATCATATTTCTCTTTGTCTCAGCTGCTGGAATGGCTTTTCTTCTTGAAGCTCCATATTGTAACCGTGTGGTTTCTGCAGGCTTGCTCAAGCAACAGAGCAAGCCCTTATAATAAATAAACCGAGACTTACTTAAAAGTCCATTAGGGTGACAGTAGGGATGGGAATGTTGTCCTGCAAATCATTCTTCTGCTTATGGCAAGCAAAAGGATTTTCTCCCCTGATGCTGCAGTTGCCCTTTTAATCCTTTACTTCATATTGATAACAGTAGAAATGAGTCTTAATCTAAAGAATATTGTTATTATTAATGATGATGAAAGATAATTACCTTATCTAATCTTCTCAATGTTGTGATCCTAAAAATGCAGACGCTGTTAGTATCTTTATTCTGTACATGAGAAATTGGACCTCGGATACGTAAAGTAAGAACCCCAAGATGACAGCCTCAGGAAATAATAGACCTAGGTGTCGAGTTCAGGTCCACCTGTCTCCAAATTTGCTTTTAAGCAATACTGCTTTATAGATGGTGGCTACCCAGGAGCCTCATCATCTCCGTGAATTGTCTTGGTATGACCACTGGGAGAGGGTGCCCTCCTGCAAAACTGCTATTATGCACCCTGTCCAGACTTTTTTTTTTTTTTTTTTCATGTGAAACAAGCAACTCTGGAGTGGGTAGCAAGCATATTCACTGTGACAGGAGTTACATGCTGAGACTCAGTGTTCAGCTTTGTCTCTTTCTGCCTGTGGGGGAAATAAAGGGGAGAAAAGACTTGATTCCAATGCATTGTTACACGTGTGTGTTTCCCCTCAATGATTGGGCGTGCTTCTTAATGTGGGATTTGATTTAAAATGATTTGTGTGTGTTTCATGTGGGTTGCGCCCAGAAAATTGGAGCAAAATGAGTTATGGTACATTCTGTTCTTTAATACCTGTGGGTCTTCTGAACTCAATATAGATGATTATATAAAATAATATACATAATTAAGATCAATTAAAATACCCATGATGTTTATAAAAACAAAGAGGTATTGGGAAAAGTAAAATTAACCAGTGGCCAACTTTTGAAAACCTACTGTGCAGTAATCTATATACATTGTTTTAGTTTTCATCTTTCAAGAATTCTGCAATTAAAAGTAGCATTCTACCCAGGTTACAGAAGAAGAAACTGAGGCACGTGGAGTTTAACTATTTCAAAGGAGTGAGTTCAGATAGCTCAGTGTGAGGACCAGAGGCAGGAAGGGAGTGGAATCCTCATTGCAAACTACCTGGCGAAATGTTTCAAGGTAGAGAGCAGTGGAACCCCGGGGCTGAATGTGGACAGGGAGGAGAATGGTGGGTGACAAGCTAAGGGCTTTGATTTATTCCTGCATGTCCATGAAAGTATGAAAGCTCATTCCCCACACATTCTAAAACCAGGACATCTGTGTTCCAATACTGTCCACACTCAAGCACACATCATTTTCCAAATACTCGGTCATTTTTTCCTCTGCTTTCTAATATTGCCCTGAGGGACTCAAAGGGCACATTATGGATGGTCAGCTTTTATTTGGTTGCTTTAGCACTGAATGGGTGGAAGATTGAGGTGAAGGAGAATTGTGAACATGCCAAAAAATACAAGTTGGAAAAGCTGGAACTCCAGCCCAACAGGTTACCTGATAAGTTGGCTTATGCCCTAAACATCGTGTCATTGTGTGGTATTTCCTAAGGTCTGATTCAGTGTCAGGTCATGGAACCTCACTACCCCAGCCCTCTGTGCACAGCAGAGAGCATCGTAGGTTACCGGATCTAAGACTGGGGAGCTGCTCTGCAGTAGCCAGGCACAGCAGCAAGTGTCAGAGTGTCTTCTACCCCTGGAGGCTCATTGTCCCCGAATATGACTTCATCTGCACCTGTCCTCCTGTTGCATCTGTGAGGAGGGCACCATGGAGACCGTAAAAGCCCCCAGCATGGAATTCTCTCCTTTTCCCCAGAAAGCAGCATCTCCGTGGAGGTGGCCAGCAACGCCAGTGTCATCCTCGAGGGCGAGGACCTGCACTTCTCCTGCAGCGTCCGCACGGCAGGCCGACTGCAGGGACGCTTTTCTGTCATCTGGCAGCTCGTGGACAGGCAGAACCGCCGCAGCAATATCATGTGGCTGGACCGCGATGGCACCATGCAGCCAGGCTCGTCCTACTGGGAGCGCAGCAGTTTTGGGGGTGTCCAGATGGAGCAGGTGCAGCCCAACTCATTCAGCCTGGGCATCTTCAACAGCAGGAAGGAAGATGAGGGCCAGTATGAATGCCACGTGACCGAATGGGTGCGGGCAGTGGATGGCGAGTGGCAGATCGTCGGGGAGCGCAGGGCCAGCACTCCCATTGCCATCACAGCACTCGGTAAGTGAGCATCTGGCAGTCTTTTGGTGGGACCAGCATGGAGGCTGCGCCCTCCCGTAGGGAGTACCTTACCCTGACTTTCATCAGGGTTCTGGCAGGAAACAGACTGCCCCTTCCAAGGGTTTAATTGTAGGGACTGTTTATGGTAGTGCAGGCAGTGCTGAAGGAACCTCAGTGGATGGCGATCCCCTGGGTGCTAGCAGCAGCTGGAAGCCGTTACCACTCTTAGCTCTGGGTTGTGGGGAGTGGTGCTATCAGACTCTAGCCAGGTTGGTGCTGCCACCCCAACTGCCTTTGAAGAGAGGGAGCAGAAGCAGGAATATGGCAGTATTTCTGTCCTGCCCACCAGGCCTCAGGAGGAGCCTGATCTTTGTGAACTGGGCAAAGCAGAGCAGAGAAGAGGAGGAAGCCCCCTGTTGCCATTCATTTAGCATTTGCTATGTTCGGGCTAAGTCTGAGCACTTAATTAATGGCTCTGTTGAACCCTCACCAAGCCGGGAGGTAAACACTTGGATTTTACAGGGCACTGAGACAGCTCAAGGCTACAGTTTAAATGGCCAACACATGGTCTGAACCCAAAAAGCTGCACTCTGTTTTAATTTTTCCTTTTCAAAGCCTTGTGCTTTTATCTACTCTTCTATGAGGCCCCTACTTAAGAAAGACATTTCCTTATTAGCGTGAAATGACAAGATGTCTTGAGATTCGCTAAAACCAAAGAATATTAGATTTGCTTCTCATGGGGTAGTTAAAGAGGCTTCCATCAACATTTATCTGCCTAATGTAATCAGTACGTTATGTTTTGAAAGACCAGTCTGCCACTTTGCGAGGGGGGTAACTTGTCATGCCAGGTCTGTCAGGTCTTCCTGATCATCAGGAGATTGACACCAGATGCCCTCAGCAACTCCATATCCCACCCCTGGGACCATGGCGTTCCGGAATATTCTCCAGGAACCATGGCGGCCCGAGCGGGTTTGCTCTTGACAGAACCCTTTGTTTTCCTGCTCTCTTACATGTACATTTACTTTCTAAAAGCTTAATCCCAAAGATGGACCTGCTTTCTGCAGTAACCGTAAGGCTCAGATTTCTGTCTCCAGAAACTTCCTCCAGCAATTGAGTTTCCGGAGCAGCTCAGTCCCTGTGCCCATGCTCGGCACCTGTGTGGACCGGTGCAGATGGAACTGGGGTAGGGTCCAGGACATCCAGGACGGCTAGTTTTCCCCCATCCTGGGAGGCCAGGAGGTCTGAGGAGTGGACAGAGTAGGCAGGATTGTTGGAATGTTGGCCTAGAAGTCATTTCACAGTAGCAGGTTATGCCCTGATATTTTTCCTATTCACCCAGGGTCTGGGCTTCCCATAGCCAGGGGCTACTGAGCAGCTGTACCCTGGGTTCCTGGGGCTGGCTCTCCCTACCTGTGCTGTCCCCTTAGACTCCTCTGGCTAAAGCCATCATCAGGGCAGCCCCGGGGGCAGACAACCTGGACAGAGGCTGTCTTTTCAGTGTGGTGTAAACTACAGCACACAGGAATTTTCATTTCTCTGCCGTTAGGTATGGATCCCCCCAGCAGGGAGCAGATGAGAGACCAGGCTCAGTGCGTCCCAGATGCCCGTGGGCCCTGGGACCTTCGGCTAGGGCAGCTGGGGTGCTGTGCTTGCTGTGGTCTGTGACCACCGCATGGTCCTCTGTCAGACCTAGACAGGGCTGTGCACTTGGAGAAGCTCTCCTTCCTCGGGTGTGAGAGTCTTTTCCTCTGAGGCCCTGTTCTGTACTGCTCTTGAGACAGCATGTACTACACACAGCTGCAGAAGTGGTCATCATGGCAGTTCAGTGTCCACATTGGGGCCACCACGTCTTAAACTTTAAAAAAAATTCATAAAATAGCTTATGAACTCCAAATTCTAAATCCAGAGCATTCGGCAAATAATGCCTACTTTTTTGCAGACTTAACCTCCCCGTAGGAAGCTAAGTGACTCATTCTGTGACCTGTCTTTCACCTACAGAATTTAAACTACTTTCCTTTATCATGTTTCTTTAACAAATACATATTTAAAAAAAAATATATATAGCGTGTACCATATACCAGATACTATTCCAAGTATTTTATGATCACTTACTAATTTAGTCCCGACAAGAACCTGTCTCACCCACTGGGGACATGAAGGCAGGGAGAAGTTGGGTAGCTTGCTTGTTGTTACATAGCAGCAGGTGTCAAAGGTGGGCAGCTTCAGGGGCTGTACCTTTAACCACTGAGCCTGCTTCCCATGGGTAAAGCAACCAAAAAAGGCCCCTGGAATCAGTTCCATGTGGTGTGTAGCCTGACTGTGCCACTGATTAGCAGCTTGGTATTGGGTAATTTCTGTAACCCCTCAGTTTCCAGATCTGCAAAAAGACGGTAAGCATTCCTGTTCTAGAAGACGGTTTTGAGGATTCAATAAAGTGTGTTGAGAGCAAGGGGGTTGCCATTGTGTCTGACATATAGATAGGGCTCAGTGAATACTGCTGCTACTATTTAGGCATGGTAATTGATGATTTATATTAAACACAGTGTCCAAGCTGGAGAACTCCGAGGTACGCGTATTGAAGAGTGGGTATTGGGGACTAGGGATGCTGCTGGTTCAATATGGATTATCGAGACACTCACAGCTCACTACTAAGACGGCAGAACTCTGAATTAGGACTGTCATCTCCACCATACCCGAGGTCCCACCTGCTCTGCACCCCATGTTTGTTTTTTTTGCTCGTTTGTTCTTAAATAATTATTTATTTAATTATATTAATTATTATTGTTGTTATTTATTTGGACCAAAGAGAGAGAAAGGGAAAGGAAAAGTGAGGAAGCAGGCCACCGTGTGCAGTACTCAAACTGTGGTCAGCCACGTGGGAATCCAGCACCTTAGCCACCATGCCACCTACCAGCTCCTGCACCCTGTGTTTTGCCAGTAGCTGAATTGGGGAATATGGCTGCTGAGAATATGCTGCAGTCTCACCTCCCTGAGGAAGCCACAGCCTCCTCTGACTGATGTCTCTGCTGCTCTCTCTCCAGAAACGGGCTTTGCAGTCACAGCCATCTCCCGGACGCCAGGGGTGACCTATAGTGACTCCTTTGACTTACAATGCATCATCAAACCCCACTACCCAGCCCGGGTCCCCGTGTCGGTGACATGGCGCTTCCAGCCAGTGGGCACTGTCGAGTTCCATGACCTGGTGACCTTCACCCGGGACGGAGGGGTCCAGTGGGGAGACAGGTCCTCCAGCTTCCGAACTCGCACTGCCATCGAGAAGGCTGAGTCGAGCAATAACGTCCGCCTGAGCATCAGCCGAGCCAGTGACACGGAGGCGGGCAAGTACCAGTGCGTGGCCGAGCTGTGGCGGAAGAACTACAACAACACCTGGACACGGCTGGCTGAGAGGACCTCCAACCTGCTGGAGATCCGGGTGCTGCAGCCAGGTGAGTGCTGCTTGCAGGCCCTGTGGGGTGAGTGGTGAAACCCGCCGGGAGGGCAGGACAGGTGAAGGAGCCCTTGACACAGCGTCTTTATTCCTCAGTTCTTTACTCGGAGAACATTCAAATCCAGGATGTTGCAGGAAGCACAGAGAGCACATGGAGTCCCTCCCCTTGGTGGCTGGTTGCTAACATCTTACCATGTTTGCGCTTCCTTCTGTGTATGTTTTTGTTGTTGCTGAACCAGTTGAGGTTAGGTATGGACATGAGGATACTTCCCCTGAATACTTAGCCAGTAACTCCTGAGAACAGGACAGTGTCCTGCCCGAGGACGACAGCATTGTAATACTGCGGGAATTCAACATTAGAGTAGTGCTGTCACTCATGGTTCTTGGGGTCCCAGTAATGCCTTTTGCATATATATATATATATATATTGCAAACTAAGATCCAATCAGGGGTCACATGTCACGGTTAATTGTCCAGACTCTCTATTCTCTGTTTGGTTCCCTGGCTACTCTGTGAATGCTTGGTGTGACATTGACATCTGTGAAGCATGCAGGCCAGTTGTTTTGTAGAAAACTCCATTGCTTTTATTTAACCTCATCTCCCATAGTCCTTGCAACATGCTGTGGAAGAGGTCTCACTCCTGTTTATGGATACGGAAACTCAGGGGAGAGGGAAGATAATGGGCACTTAGTAGCATCTGCTTTGAGTTCAGTGCTGAGGGTGAGTTATTTATTAGAATTGCACAGCACTCTAGGGGAGACTTAAGTCACATTGCTAGTGAAGGTGGAGCCAGGATTTGAACCCTGGTTGGTTTCCTCCCACAGGATCCTTGACCCTGTCCAGGTGTGGAGTTTGAGTTCCTGTCTGCTATGGAGGCTGTCTCTCAAAGCAGATGATAATGATGTGCTCATTTGGGGGAGCATTAGTCAGATGCTGTCACCTTCATCAGGCCCTCTGTCCACAGACAGGAGTGGTTAAGTACGTGCTACCCTTACGGTTTTCCTCGGTGTCTGTCCTTGTCTCCTCTGGGTCAGAAGGTGGTGGAAGGTAAAACCCAGACTGTGGGCTCCCACCACCCTGCCCTCCTGTTGCCCAGACCGGGCACAGGATAGGACAGGTACCACACAGTGAATGATGAGGGCTCGACTTTGCAAAGACGGTTTGAACGCCTTCCAGAAAGGATTTTTCTGCCCACTAACGGCCAGGGTTAGTGGACACACTGTCTGCTCGATCACATCAGGTGGCCGCCATGTTGTTTCCAGCAGTCAGGTAAAGTCATAGTAAGCGGTGGACTGAGTTTCTTCTTTATATCTAACCCCATAGCAGTCCAGTCCTGTATGCAGTTTGGAACAAGCTCCCGTATGCATCGTTAGACTGTTTCTTGATCCATTAGAGTCTAACCCTGGACTGACAAGATGCTTAGGGAAGAGGCTGTGCTGCCTAAGTGGATGTCTAGGTTAATGGAGGGTTAAGCAGAGACCCCATTTTATGTGAACCCTTGTGGAAAATGCCGAGGTACCCAGGCGCCTGCCTTTTTGAGTAAAACATTAGGGTCCTAATTGCACCATTCGTGTCTCCTCTGGCCTCAAGGTCAGCGTGGGAAGCGGTGCCCAGTGTGTTCTGCCGCCGTAGTTGGTAGGAGTTTTTTTTTGACCCTGACATTCACCAGGCATTGCCTTTTTCAACAAATCCCCTGTATTTTCTGTTTTTGTTACTACTTCGAATCTAAGACTGGAGTGCCTAGGGCAAGAATATGGAATTAGTTCATTGAAGGCTCTAATTATTCGGATTCTGATTAATTTATGGTGGTACTAAAGGCAAAAAGGGACAAAAATGTAGGAAGTGCCTCTTGGGTACCTGGCTTTGTGCTTAGTGCTTAGTTTTTGTTTGGATTCATCCAACAGTCTGATCACGTAGATGATCGGATCCCCCTTTCTCTAATGAGGAAACCAGGGCTCAGAGTGTTTGGGAGGCAAACAGTGTTAGGTGGCAAAACCGAGAACTTGAACCTCTATCGGAGCCAGGCCTCTGACTTCCACACAGCCACATTTTCCAGTCTCGCGTACTTTTGTCAGCTGAGTAGGGGAAGTAGCTGGAGTGGTAGGAACCCAGGATCTGCTCTGAGCGCGGTCTGTGTGTCCTGTGTGTCTTGGTTGGTTTCTGTGTGCTTCTAGTAGAGAAGGGTTGCACGGTGTGGCATAGGCGATAGGGAGCATCCTTGGGCTGTGAGGCTTCTGCCTAAAGGTGCACAGTAACGCACGTCCCAGCTCTCGGGAGGCTGGAAAGAGCAAAGGTAGGTGCTTGAGGCCGCACATGGCTCCCAGAGAATGGCCGAGGCACCATCCCCTTAAGTGTTACTGTCTCTCTGTTATTAAATATTTATACACTTAGCACTTAATATTTTCCAAAGAGCATCATGTTCGTTTTTATTCTTTTTTGCCCTACATACTTTGGTTGGTGCTGGAGCTTTTATTTAGGGGAAGTAGAAGTGGAAAAATACTCAAGGACTAACCACGTGCTGGCGAGTGTAATGGACGCTGGTGTATATTATCTTTCTTAGTGTTCCTGAGATCTGGGAGGAAGGTTTGCTTTGTTCTTTTATAAATGAAGTAACAGAGACTCAGAGAGGTTTCTGTTTGTTCAAATCAGATGCATAGTGAGGAGGAAGTTGAGATTTGAATCCAGGTGTGCATTATTAAAAAACCATTGATGGACCAGCAGTTAGTGTAATGGCTATGTCGCTGGACTCCCACGTAGTTGACTGCGGTTCGGGTCCTGGACCCGGCGGCTTAAACTCACGCCGGGTGCATGTGCGTGCGTGCCCAAGATCCCAAGAGAAGAATGGAAGAGAATTAATTGGGGAGTGGCCATCCCCCCTGGGGGGTGATTTCTCGCTTTCTATCTCTCTGTCTCTCTCTGTCTTTCTGGCGAGCGCACGTGCCCTCTCGCGAAAACCTCTCAAAAAAAAAAATCATAAAAAAAAATCCAAACAAACAATTGGGGTGGGTCCAGTGGGTGGTATGGTAGTTAAGGCGTTGGGCTCTCACACGGCTAACCGTAGTTCGAGTACTGGATGTGGCAGCTTGAAAATCATGCTAGATGCGTGTGTGTGCATGCCCAAAGTCCTGAGAGTAGAGTGGAGAAGAGGCTGTAGCAGGGCTATCCTCCCGAGGGGGTGATTTCTCACTTTTCCTCTCTCTATCTCCAGCAAGCACACTTGACCTATGGCCAAATTAAAAGGGTGGGGAGGGGTGGGGTGGCATAGGGAGACTTTGACCTTTTTCAAGGTCATTCAATCAGAAACCATTTCTGCATTCAGGTAATGGTGTTAGTTACAGAAGAGGTTTATTGTTTTGGTCGATGACATGGAGAAGTCTCAACCCTGGTGTTATAGTGGTTACTTAAAACAGTTGCAACAATAGCAGCTATGTTTATTGAGAAATTCTTTCTTCGTGTTAAAGACTGTTTATTGAGCCAGTCAGTGGTGTGGTGGTTAAGGTGACGGGATCCCACATGGTCAGCTGCATGGTGGCTGGAAAAACACACTGGGCACATGTGCATGCATGCTCAGACTCCCAAGGGGATAGTGGAGAAGAAGGAATTACGGCATCCCATTCCGCAGGGGAGTGATTTCTCGCTCTCTCTCTCTGGCAAGTGCATATACTCTATAGCAAAAAAAAAAAAAAAAACCAAATTAAAGACTTGTTTTTAGGTTGGTTCTGTAGCCTAGTGGTTAAGGGAGCCAGATCCCAAATGGTTGACTAGGTAGTTTGAATGCCAGCCCTATTGGTTGGAAAAATACACCAATTGTGTGTGTGTGTGTGTGTGTGTGTGTGTGTATGCCCAAAATCCTCACAGGGTGGAGAAATGGAGAAGGAATTTCGGTGTGACCACACCCCATTGGTGGGGCTTTGTTCCCTCCCTTTCTCTCTGCCTCTTTCTATAGAGCACATGTGCCTTCTGGCAAATTAAAGCTAAATAAATAAATAAATAAATAAATAAATAACTGACCATTTATTTCTTCCAAGAAGGAGCTGAGGCATCATCTCCAACAGGGTCTTCATGCTGCGTTCTACACCCAGCCTCGGTCAGCCTGTATCATGGGCATGTTCAGGGAGACCTCGGGACGTGAACCCATGTGGGTCTCACGTCATGGTGTGTGACGTTGCCGCTGTACTCTTGTGGCCAGTTGGGAATTTCTGTGTACCCTTTACCATCCTGAATGCTTTCCATGTAATAACTTAGCTCTTCCTTACCTAATCAAACAGTGCCATGGGCAGAAGTGTTTCACCCATTTCACAGATGAAGACAGTGAGGCAGAGGTCGATACATTTCCCAGTGTTCCATAATGAGGGTCAGAGCCAGGATTCAAATCCAAGTGAGCAGTCTTGCTCCAGAGTCCAGGCTCTTAATTTTATTCTCCTGTGGTTTTCTTTTTCTTTCTCTTACTCTTTTTGTCTTTTTTAGTTTGCTATAGGACATACATGCTCACCAGAGAGACAGAGAGGGAAAGA